TTCTCCATAATATCCTTACCCTCTTACCGAACTTCAGTTCTACCTCTTTCTTTCTTCGCTGTTACAAATTCGTCTTAGATATACACTTATACATACACTTTAATTCATTAATTGTGTATACACTTCACCCATTTTTTTAGTCATTTATTGTTTCTCATTTGCATCAATGTTTTCATCATTGCAGTCTGCTTAAAATTCTGATTTACATTCTTAGTTACTCTCATTGTATAATACGACTTTTTATACCTCGATTCAGACACAATGATATTTCTTTAGCTATCTTTTCAGCTTTAATCTTTTTCTGATTTCTCTCTCTCGAATACATAGGAGTTCTTCACTCTTTTGACGAAAAGTTTTTCAGGTCATAAACACAAAGAGATCTAGTCTTTCTTTCGTGGCTATTTCTCTTTATCTAGTACTCTTCTGTCCACATTATTTCTTCTTACCTGTTAGCACTCTTGAGTAGGCAGTACTGTTCATGGAGCATGTAGATATATATATTTCGTTGATATTATTCAGACTTATGAAGAGTGCTTCATATTAGTTCAACTCACATCATGATCTTTAAGGTATCACTCCTCGTGACTCCTTTTTACTGTCTAAATGATTCTTTTCTTTTTTCCCATTTATGTTCCTCCATCATATATTTCTCATGATTTTAATTTGTTTAAATCTTCATATGATGTAATAGATTTCTTCTTCGTTCTGTGCTTTGTCCTTCTCCTCATCATCTGTTTCATCTCTTCATATTCAAGTTCGTAGAGTCATATTTCTCTATCTAGTACGCTCTCAACGGCTGAGTACCTACAGCGCTCTGCACTTTTCTCATCTACAATTATACATATTCATGTTTTCCTGAAATAAATAAGACGTTTAATTATTAACTAAATAATATTTATATTTTTCCTTCATATGATGATCTACCTCCCTAGGTTATTTTCATAGGGATGTGTTATTTTTTTTTTAAAGTTGGTCAAACTATATCTACATTTATATTCAATTATTCGCTAATCTTTTTTCCTATTATAAGTCTGTTTTTCTGAACATTACTACATATTACTCTCCATATATGCATTCTCTCCTGAATTTCTTTAGACCATCTCATATTTATTTCTATATGTATCCTTTGTGGTCATCTCCAAATCTTCATGTCAAAGCACTAGAGCTCTCATGGGCAGATGAAAGGCTGATCAATTATCAAAAATTTCTCCTCGCTCTTGCAGATAATTGTTCAATGCATTTATGTGGTTTACTTTACATGTCGCATGGAATCCTGCGTTTTGGCCTTATACCTCCGTATTTCTATACGGTTCTTGTTTTTTGACTTTATCTGGTCTCCTGGTAGGGCTTACATTTAAATATAGCGCATCTATTTTATGTCTTTAATTTATTCGCTGGTATTTACTCATCTTCTATGGGTTGATATTTTTAAATGGGTTTAGGTTTTTTTATTTCCGTTGGGGATTTGTACGTTTTTATTTGGTAGCATCTCATGGGAGAGTTTCAGCTTCTAAGATCTTTCCTTAATATTGAAGGACACAAGACTTTCCTTCCCTCCCCGTACTCCTTTTCTTTGAACTCGATTTCCTTAAAAACAATGACTTTATCATTTTACTAAAGGGCTAGAAGCCAGGGACTTCCCAGATGTCGAATGAATAATGTTCTCCGTCTGTTAGTGGTCAAAATGTTTGCCACCTGAGGTTTTACATATTTTATTCCTCTAGATCCGTCACTTCTCTTTTTACTGCCTGCTGTATACCAGGTACTCTATGCACAATTAACCCACGTCATAGCCACAATGAGCCTGCAAGGCAGATATGCTCCTCCCCTTGTTGATGAGAAAAGGAAGACTCAGAGGTACTAACAGCCTGCAGATATCTCTGGGTCTTGGCACAGTTTAAAAAGAGGCACATTCAAACCAGATTAGCCTACCTAACGACTGGTTTCTCAACAATAATTGAGAGTAAATTAAAATATTACAAATGCCTCCAAGGAAAGGTGCTCATGAAAAGGTTCAGATTCTTGTGACAATAGAAATAAATACATATTTACTCCTTTCTAAATTTAATCCTTGAAATCTCCAGGCCCTCACTGGGGCCTTTTGCTAACATAGTCAAGGCTTGGGGTTTTTGCAGGGGTCCTTCTTTTTTGAGACAGAGTCTCACTCTGTTGCCTGGGCTAGAGTGCCGTGCGTGGCATCAGCCTAGCTCACAGCAACCTCAAACTCCTGGGCACAAGCGATCCTCCTGCCTCAGCCTCCTGAGTACCTGTGACTACAGACATGCACCACCATGCCCGGCTAATTTTTTCTCTATATATTAGGTGGTCAATTAATTTCTTTCTATTTTATTTCTTTCTTTCTATTAATTTCTTTTTATTCAAGATCCAGTAGAGACGGGATCTTGCTCATGCTCAGGCTGGTCTCAAACTCCTGACCTCAAGCGATCCGCCCGCCTCGGCCTCCCAGAGTGCTAGGATTACAGGCGTGAGCCACCACGCCCCACCTAAATTATCTTGAAATCTTTAAAAACAGCTTTTTCAAAGCACAATCTATACAACACAGTGCCTTGAGCACAAACTAGTCTCTGGGGTCCAGTAAATAAATGTGAGATATGAAATACACTCTTCCCTCCCCACCGAAAGAGATTATATTATTACAGACTCTAAAAATACAACAATAAGCAAAACCAAAACAAACCAAAGCAACCTTTGCAATCAAGAAGCCATACCACAAGCAGTTAAAATACGAATGCGTAATGAGCAGTAGAGATGGCAACTATAGTTTGAAATTTTGAGAAATTTTTATTACAAGGAAGGAAGAGAGAGTGAAGGTTTGTTTTTTTTTTTTTCCTAAAAGAGAGGAAACAGGAGCAGGTTTAAAAGAGAGGAAACAGGAGCAGGTCTGCCTACAGAAGCAAAGCAACGGTGCAGAGGCGGGACTTGAAGATGTGAGAAATACATTTATTCATCTGTTTGCCTCAAAGACATTGGGAGCCCCCAGTGGGATGTTAGAAGAGGCACTCAAAAAAAAAAAAGTTTTTGAAATTGCAAACAGAATTAATAATTAATGGAAATCAATCCTCAGGAGCCAACAAGGGTCTGAATGAAGGGATCCTCGGGAAAGAAAGTGGACCAGCACTTTCTCTGAGATGGAGGGGGGGTGGGCGGCGGGGAGGGAAAGCAAAGCAGGGGTGTTTGAGTGGAGAAGGAAGCGGCTGCGCAGACAGTGGCCCGGCAGGCAGCGGGAGGACTCACATCAGTGGCCTCCACAGGGCAAGAGCATGGAGGTGAGGTCCCTGCTCACAGAGGAAGCTGGCAGCGTCTGGGAGCCTGGCGGGGTGGGAAGGACAGAGCGAGACAGACCCCAGCTGGTGGGGCCCCTATGTTTCGGAGGCAACAAGAGATGCAGGAAAAGTTCTGCTGAGTGAGAACCCAGTGTGAAGAGTGGTTGCATGCAGTGGTGCTTAAAGGCATCGTGGTCCCTGGAGCCAGACTCACTGGCCTGGGGTTTGAATCCAAGATCCCTTCCTTCTAAAAGGTCTGGTTGAAGATTAATTAGACACGTTCCTAGAGTGCGGCTGGAACATTTCATAGCACACCCGACTAGTACGTAGCTCATTACTGTGCAGTACTGGGTGGAGCGTCGGTACACAAATTTTGTGTATTTTGTGATGTCGTTTCTTAAGAAAACGATAGGAAGTTCACCAAGGTAGGAGCATAGTCACAAGGTGAGGCTGAAGATGTGCCCAAGCAGGCACTGGGAGGGCAGGTGATGGAGTCTGGGGTCCTAACTGGGTAAGGGGCACAGTAAAGCCCATACGGAGAAAGGCGGCACATCTGAACTTGAGCTTTGGGCTGAGGAAATTCTCAGGGTGTTGACGAGATCTTAAATGTTGCCATAAAAAATCATGGCTAAGGCCGAGGCGGGCGATCGCTCGAGGATGGAGTTCGTAAACCAGCCTGAGCAAGGCAAGACCCCGTCTCTACTATAAATAGAAAGAATTAATTGGGGCAACTAACATATATATAGAAAAAATTAGGCCGCGGCATGGTGGTGCATGTCTGTAGTCCCAGCTACTCTGTCTCAAAAAAAAAAAAAAAAAAAAAAATCACGCTACCCTATACGCATTCACTCCATTCCCTTGACAACAGTTTTTGAGCACCTACTGTGTGTCAGCCACTCTGCCTGAAACTCCCTGCATACATTATTGCCTTAATCCTCTCAACAAACCAACTGGGAAGGTATCATCAAACAAACTTTTTTGGACAAAGAGATTAAAATTTGCCCCAAAGCAAAAAGTTAATAAATGGCAAAACCAGGTTTCAAACACTGATGTGATTGTAAAGTTCATGTTAAAAACTGTTCTTTATTTTATCTCCATGCTGCTGAATAATTTTGGTTGGTGACAAGGAAAGTGTTAAGAGTGGAGGGGCTTAGGACTCGTAAGGTCAGAATGTTGGGCCATTCCCATGGGTGCTGAGTTCCCCAGGGAGGATAGGGGAGAATGTACAGGAATGTATGGAAGGACATATGAATTTGGCACTGAAGTCCTGGAAGAAGGTGAAGGTGTGCAGTGAAAGTGTGAGAAGAGAAGGTATGGACTTCGAAGGAGACGAGGTGACAGGGTCATAAGGTCGGAACGTCCCTGGTTTGCAAGAAGATCAACTGTTCGCTGGTTCCTGCTAGGTGGGGAAGGCGTGGGAGAAGTCCTGTCCTGCATCATGGAAGGTCTTCCAGTCTCTGGAAGACAGCTGGACGCCTGCTCAGCCTCTCTCAGGCAAGTGACAACAGGAGCAGCATGACAAGAGAGGCTGAGGTTGGCAGAGCATCCCAGAACACCATGTCAGAGGCCAGCGGGTGGGTGGACAGAGGGCCGGGGCAGGAGAAGGGTTTAGTTTCAAAAGAGTTGGCAGGAGCAGCAAGCGGGCTGGGAGGCAGGCTGGAGGCCCAAGGTGGAAGACAGGCAGGAGGGCACTCGTGAGTGGGGGTTGAAGGGTTACATGAGCCACATTCCAAGTGGAATGTCAGAGAGGGAAAGTCCAACTGCAAACTTACCTGCCTAGGTATATACCCCTCTTAAATGTCCTTCTTTCTTCCTTTGGTGCTAGGGAAAGGAATCACCAGAACTTTCCAAGGAAACTTAACTGTTGCTGGTCTGCCCCACTGAATTCAGAGGTGTTCGTGATTACTAAATTGGGAAGAGCAAGGCTGTCACCAGGTATACACAGTTTCACAGCCATGCCATCTCATTATGACCTTACCAGCCTATGGTGACATCAAATCCCTGATTATTAGAACCATAGCTTTGGTAAATTTCTGAGATCCCAAATTGTCCAGCTAGCAGGGACTGAAGAGGGTAACCTGGGTGGTCAGGCCTGGAGAGAAAATTCCCCTAAAAAGGTAAGTTAGTGATTTCATTAGCTGTCTTCCCCCACCCCCCAGAATATTATGGGGGTACAAATATTTTGGTTACATATAATGCCTTTGCCTTGCCCGAGCCAGGGCTATAAGCGTGCCCTTTTCCCATATAGTGTGCACTCGGCACCCATTAGTTGTGGGTTTACCCACCCCCACCTTCCTCCCACCTGACTGACACCCAGTGAATATTACTACCATGTGAGTACCTTAGTGTTGATCAGTTAGTGCCAATTTGATGGCGAGTACACGTGGTGCTTGTTTTTCCATTCTTGTGATACCTCACTTTGAAGGATGGGCTCAAGCTCCATCCAGGATAATATAAGAGGTGCTAGTTCACCGCTGTTTTTTGTAGTTGAGTAGAACTCCATGGTATACATATATCACATTTTATTAATCCACTCATGGATTGATAAGTACTTGGGTTGTTTCCACATCTTTGCAATTGTGAATTGTGCTGCCATAAATACTTGAGAGCAGATGTCTTTATTATGGAATGTTTTTTTTTTTCCTTTGGGTAGATGCCTAGTAGTGGAATCGCTGGATCAAATGGTATTTCTATTATTAGTTCTTTGAGACATCTCCAAATTACTTTCCACAGGAGTTGCACTAATTTTCAGTCCCAAGAGCAGTGTACATCAGCTGTCTTTTAAAATAGTTGATCTGTTCCTTTAGACTCAAACTTAATGCTTATCCAAATTTGTAACTTTAAAATTTTATGGGATATGGGGGAAGGAGGAGGGATTCGCTGCAGTTGTACCAAACAATCCTAGAGGCCAATGGTGTAAACATATAGGAATAAAGAAATTGGGTGTAGGAAGGAGAAGAGGGATTCTATTTGAAAAGGTCTATTAGCTGGACACAGTGGCACATGCCTGTAGTGCCAGCCACTCAAAGGAGGTTGAGGCAGGAGGATCACTTGAGACCAGGAGTATTATTATTATTTTTTTTGAGACAGAGTCTCACTGTGTTGCCCAGGCTAGAGTGTCATGGTGTCAGCCTAGCTCACAGCAACCTCAAACTCCTAGGCTCAAGTGATCCTCCTGCCTCAGCCTCCCAAGTAGCTGGGACTACAGGCATGCGCCACCATGCCCAGCTAATTTTTTCTATATATATCAGTTGGCCAATAAATTTCTTTCTATTTATAGTAGAGACAGGGTCTCGCTCTTGCTCAGGCTGGTTTTGAACTCCTGACCTCGAGCAATCTGCCCGCCTCGGCCTCCCAGAGTGCTAGGATTACAGGCGTGAGCCACAGCGCCCAGCCAAGCCCAGGAGTTTTGAGGTTGCAGTGAGCTGTGATGACACCACTGCACTCTAGCCTGGGTGACAGAGTGAGATCCTGTTGTAAAATAAATAAATAAATGGATGTATGAATAAATAAAAAGTCTAGAGTATGATCACCTCCAAACTTTCATGTGTGTATGAACTACCTGAAATCTTGTCAAAATACAGAGTGTTGATTCAATGAGTCTGGGTAGACATGGGGTTCTGCTTGTGTAGCAAGCTCCCAGGGTCTACAGACCATACGTTGAGCAGTAAGGACCCATGCTGGGTAACTAGTCAAAACTTAGCTTCAAAAAATGGGTTGTTTTGGAGGTAAGAAGGCTGTTAACCAGCCCATTAAAACACAACAGGCATTGATTTTATGTACAATAATAGGATGATTATGAAACTTGGAGTCAGAATTTATAGGTTTAAATCCTGATTCTACCATTTTCTAGCAATAAAACTTTGGACAAATTATGGGCCATCTCTGAGTCTCAGTTTCTTCATTTACTGTGTTTTCCCGAAAATAAGACCTACCCATAAAATAACCCCTAGCAGGATTGCGCAATAGAAGCCCTACCCCGAAAATAAGACCTAGTGACGGGCGTGGCTATGCAGCGCATCTGCACAACCCATGCATTTCGTCATGGAGCGGTAAAGAAAATGAGCAGCCCTTCTCGTCTGCCCCATGAGAGCTCTGTTGCTGGACATGAGAGACTGGGGCCAATGGTTCTAAAGGAAATAGAGTTGTAAGAAATTCAGGATAGAATTCGGGGTTTGGAGAGTTATGATGATGTTCCAGAAGAAGATGACTTAACTATATTTGAATAAATGTAGACTGTGGTGCCGTACTTAACAAAAATAACACATCCCCTGAAAATAAGTCCTAGAGTGTCTTCTTGAGGAAAAATAAATATAAGACCCTGTCTTATTTTGGGGGAAACACTGTAAAAAATAGAGATAATGACATCTGGCTTGGCTGACTGACTACAGGGTAGGAGTGAGGAGTAAATGAAACAACTTGGTGAAAGTACTTTATTAACTGAAAGTGCTGCCTGTGTGTAAGAATTATTATCGTTTTTTTTTTTGAGACAGAGTCTCACTGTGTTGCCCAGGCTAGAGTGAGTGCCGTGGCGTCAGCCTAGCTCACAGCAACCTCAAACTCCTGGCTCAAGCAATCCTCCTGCCTCAGCCTCCTGAGTAGCTAGAACTATAGGCATGTGCCACTGTGCCTGGCTAATTTTTCTATATTTTTAGTTGTCCAGCTAGTTTCTTTCTATTTTTAGTAGAGACAAGGTGTTTTGCTCTCGCTCAGGCTGGTCTCGAACTCCTGAGCTCAAACAATCCTCCCGCCTCGGCCTCCCAGAGTGCTAGGATTAGAAGCGTGAGCCACCACGCCCGCCCACATTATTATCATTATTACTGTGTTATTTGAAATTAAGAAACCTTACTAATTGCTCCCCTTTCCACTGCTTTTAATTTGATAGAAAACATCGGCAAGTGTTTGCTATTTACCTGACACCATGTTAAGCACAATAAGGATTATTTGGCTTATTCCTTGCCACTCTCATAACATTAGTCGGTACTCATGTTAGCTCCATTCCACAGATGAAAAAAAAGTGAGGCCCAGAACAATAAGATTATGCCCAGCTGCTAGGTGGTGATGCTAGGATATGAACTCAGACTGATTCTCCAAAATCCAAACTCTTATTCACTGTATTCAACTAATTAATTGTAGCAAACACCTAGCACCATAGAAAAAGTGATAATCTAGAACAGGAGTTGGCAAACTTCTTCTGTAAAAGGCAAAATAGGAAGTATTTTAGCATTTGTATGCCAAATGGTCTCTGTTGCAACCATTCAGCTCTGTCATTGCAGTGCAAAAGCAGTCATAGACAATACGTAAAAAAAATGGTGTATCTATGTTCCAATGAAATGTAATTGACAGAAACAGGTGGCAGACTGGATTGGGCCTATGGGCCATAGTTTGCTGATCCCTGCTCTAGAAAACTCTGAGTTGTTTAATATAGAAGTCACTAGGCACACGTGGCTACAAATTAATTTCCTCAGTTGCATTAGCCATATTTCAAGTGCTTAGTGGACAGGTGGCTAGTCGCTACTATATTGAACAGTGTAGAAAACATTTTCATCATTACAAGAAGTCGTATCAGAGAGTAAATCACACCATCTCCCAGAGGCTCAGTTAATGTACACATAAAGTGGGGATAATACCTTTCTAATTATGTTGTTATAGAAAGTGAATGAGAAAATATGTGGAAAGGCACTTTGTAATTCATTAGGGGCTGCACAAGCATAAGCCATCATTAGGATTCTAACTGTTATTTGAAATGTGATGAAAGGTATGGAGGCAGAATTTTTGTAAGTGCCTGAATTGAGAGAACCAGGTTTTCTTTTAAATCACTCTTGGGGAAGCTATTGAGACGTCAGAGAGTTATCAAGACAGGGAAATCTCATCTAATTTTTTGGACTAGAAAGACCCTAAGCAAGGCAGATCTCAGTGTCTGTTCATCTTTCAGAGCTTGGAATCACCTTAGTAATGCTTAACACCTCCAGGAAACAACAGAACTGTCCAGACAGGAGCTTTGACAGGCAGACAGGCTACTGTGGCCTTCCTGAGGGAGATCAAAGGTTTATCCTCCTTTGTCAAACTTAAAAAGGATGACACCAGCACACATCAAACGTTCTAGCCCTTTTCTGGTGCTTCTCTTTCACAGGGGCCCCCTTCACACCACACCCATTGTGGATCACCACATGGGTCAAAAATGAAGCTCAATTTTGCCACAGAAAGATTGACCAGGCCCTTGGTTGCCCAAATGGTTCTAATATCTCTTTGGTTTCCAGAACTTCCCTCCTCCTGCATCCTTCCTTCCTGTTTCTAATCACTCTTCAAGGAAAATCCCTCTGTCACTTCTCTTCTCATTAGTCTGCTGTCCCCTCTGTCCTCAAAGGATTCTGTCCCTCAGGGGCCTGGGAGCCATGCCACTTTTTCCTTCTAGGTCCATCTACTGCTATCACTCCCTTGAGTATACAGAGGAGAAGGTTTCTTCCTGTTTGTGCTGGGTACAATCTTTCTGATTTCTCCCAGTAACTAGGAGTTATGTTTTTCATCTATTCTTTCCCTATAGCTTTTTATCTGAGCCTCCTAGAGCCTATCTCAGACCTCTCCACCTTGTTCCTGTTTCCTTTCCCCTTTATTTTTCTCACTACTAACGTACTCTAACAATTTACTTCTCTGCTCTCCAGCTAAACCTTGCCAACCTCGCTGGAATGAAAGTGTCTGTTCTCATGCACAGCTGGTGGTGATGTATGTTGGTTAAATATTTAGGAAAAGAATTTGGGAATATTTTTCTAAATACTTAAAAATATGCATCAAAAAGATATCCCCAAAGGGGAACACCAGCTCTCTAGCAATGGATATCAACCAAAATGAAAATACTGAAATGACAGATAAAGAATTCCAAATATGGATTGTAAGGAAGCTCAATGAAATCCAAGCAAATGGAAAACCAACTCAAAGAAACCAGAAAAATAATTCAGGAAACAAATGAAAAATTCACTGAAGAGATTGACATATTAAAAAAAAAAAATCAAATAGAACTTCCAGAAATGAAAAATTCATTTAAGGAAATACAAAACACGGTGGAAAGTTTTAAGAATAGATTAGACTAGACCAGGAAAAAGAAAGAATCTCAGACCTT